CTAACCCCGTCGACCCGTAATGCCAGCGGAGCAATCGGATTGGACAACTCCGGGGACACAACCAGTTGTTGGCTGCTCCCGCCCCAGCGCGCCGCCAACGGCCAGTACTGCCAGTTAGCGTTTGTCTCCGTCACCTCGTCAGTGCCGGGTGTTGCCGGCCTGGCGTCCTGGTCGTCGTCCGGGTCATCGGCGTCCGGACGCCAGGGCCAGGGCAAATGACGTAACCACGGATTCGAACCCTCGTAACCGTTGGCGTTAGCCACCACCGCCATTACCTGATGCGGACGATGCAGCAGATGATCCGGTCCCTGCTCGGCAATCGCCTGCGGGTCGATGGTAGCCCACATTGCAGCGGCCGACATCACGCCCGCCTGTCGGGCGCACGCCACGTCCTGAGGGGCGTCGCCGACGTACATGGCATCCGAAGTGCTGACTCCCAGCGTTTCCAGAACCTGAAGCAGGCCGGCGGGGTCAGGTTTGAACGGGCGATCCGTGGTTTTGAAGGAAGCGCAGTCCACCAGGCCGGAAAGGCCCGATTGCGTTAGTTCCGCGTTTCCGAATTCGGCAACTTTGTCCGACAGTATTCCGATCAGGATTCCCCGCCTTCGGAGCCCTCTCAACAGGCTGGCCGCCCCGGGAAACAGATAATTACGGTGTCCGACGATGCGGTAATAGTGGGCGAGATAGGCTTCCATGATCCCGCCCAATTCGGCCTCTGCATCGTGCCGGCTCCCGAAAAACCAGAGCAGATGTTGCCGGAAGGGGCGGTGAAACTCGGCTGCCACCTCGCCACCCGTGGGAGCCCTTAGACCCAGATCAGACGCGGTCCGTTCCATCAACCACAAATGGATATCCCAGCTGTTCCACAGCGTCAGGTCCCAGTCGAATATCACCGCGCGCATTCGACGCCGTCTCGCGCCAGGACGTACCGGCTGGCTCCGTCAGCAGTGCCCCGGATGGCTGGCGCCGCCTCCCTGGTAATCGATCGCGCTGGGCATCACGGTTGTGCCAGGATGATCCGCCCTCCCGATGTTCAACGTGAACGCTCCGCAGGCGTAGTGAAGTACACCGCTGACCTCGAGCGTCGGCGAATCGGACAGGTAGGTTATGTCCCCGTTTGCTTCGATCCGGAACGGACGGTCGTGACCTGGATAGATAGTATCGGCAGCCGCCACAATTTTCCGGATGCTTTCCCGCGCATCCGCTTCGCTCCAGAATATGATTGCGGGAGCCCCCCTCCCGATGGCTCCAGCGTCCGACATGGCGTCGCCGCCCACGCAGACGGTTCCGCCGTCGGTTTCCACCACCACGCTGATGTGACCGCGCGTGTGGCCCGGGGTTTCGATCAGGCGTACCCCGGTTTCGAGTTCGGTTTCTCCCCGGACTTCCCGTACATTCTGTGTCAGCAATGTATTGGCAAAATATCGAGCTGTCGCCAGGTCGCCGTCCCGGGGATTCCGCGTATATTCCAGCTCGTCAGCGTGGATTACGATCTCAGCGTTGGGGAATAGATCCGTGTTCTGTGAGTGATCCCAATGAGAGTGGGTCAAAATCACCCGGCCAATATCTCCCAGCTCCAACCCGCTGGCCGCCAGCGAATCCACCAGTAGATTCCTCCTGCCGAAGTGCCCCACGTCCACTATCGACAGTACCTCACCGCGGATCAGGGTAACCGTACAAAGACCCAGGCGGGTTTGGTCAGTGTTTATACTGTATCCACCCATTATGATTTCCAGTTCCGGCATGTTATCCCTCCTGCAGTTGAAGAACCATTGGGTTCAGCGGGACGGATTATAGCACCGCGAACCACACTATCGGATTGGGCCCGGATTGAATTCACCTCCGCTTCGTCAGCACGAGAGGAACCGTGACCACTGCCAGTCTTGCCCTGCTAAACGGGCGGGTGCATTCGTTTGCCGTTGGTCGCCCGCGTGGTCCCGCCCCCGCGGATGCCGTCGCGGTCGCCCACGGGAAAATCCTGGCCGTCGGTTCCAACAGCCGTGTCAAGGGGTTTATCGCCCGCGATACTGAAGTGCTGGATTGTGCTGGCCGCGCTATCATCCCCGGCATCGTAGATCCCCACTGCCACGTTCTGGCCGCGGCACGACGCATCAATCGGGTCGATTGCCGGCCCTCGTCGGCTCCGGATATAGATTCCATCGTTGGCAGGTTGCGCGATGCGGCCAGGACACAACCCGGCTGGATTCGAGGTTACGGTTACGACGATTCTCCATCAGGGATTGGGCGGCACCTCAATCGCCGGGACCTTGATGCCGTGTCAATGCGCCGCCCGGTCAGAGTTGACCATCGGTCGGGTCATGCGTGTGTACTGAACAGCCCTGCCCTCGCCGCCGTGGGCATCTCTGCGGCCACTCCGGACCCTCCAGGCAGCGTCATCCGGCGCGACGCGCACGGTGAACCCACCGGTTTGTTGATGGAAATGTCGGACTGGCTCGCCCGCCGCATCCCCGAGGCTGGTTGGGACTCGATCCGCGAAGGGATTCCCGGCGTTGCGGTGTTGCGGGAGTTGTCATCATTCGCCGCTGAATTGCTCGCCTACGGAATCACCTCCGTCACTGATGCCGGGCCGGCTAACGACCTCCGCCGGTGGAAGTTGCTGTCCAGTGCTGTAATCAACGGGGCATTTCCCCTCGAGCTGACAATGATGCCCGGTTGGACGCATCTGGGCGAAATGCTGCGGGCTGGGTTGGGTTACGGAGCAAGCGCGTGCAACGGAATGCTGCGATTGGGGCACGCCAAGATAATGCTGACCGCGTCAAGCGGAATGCTCCACCCACATCCCGCCGAGTTGAGTCGGATGATCGAACGGGCGCACGAAATGGGATTTGCGGTGGCGATTCATGCCGTTGAGCGGGACGCGGTGGTAGCCACTGCTCTGACGTTGACCGATGTTTTTTCGCAATCCTCCGGACGCGAACGGCCGGGTCGCGATCGCATTGAGCACTGCGGAGAGTGCCCGCCGGACGTTGCCGAGTTGATCCGGGAATCCGGTGCCACCGTAGTCACGAATCCCGCGTTTCTGTATTACGACGGGCTGCGTTATCAGCAAACCGTCAGTAGCGAGCTACTCCCAAACCTGTATCCAGTGGGCAGTTTGCTGCAACGAGGAATACCGGTGGCCCTGGCCTCAGATGCACCAGTGGTGGAATCAAATCCCTGGTCTGGGATGGCCGCAGCTGTTTCGCGCCGATCACGAGAGGGTGTCAATTTCGGCGGAATTGGGCTTCCGTCATTGCGTGATGCCATGGCGTTGCACATTGGGGATGGAGCAATCGTCGAAGGAGCCTGGGCGAACCTGGCGGTGGTCGAACCCGACCCGTTCTCGTTACCGGTAGCTGCGCTCGTGTCCGTACGCGCCGCGGCAACGGTGGTTCGAGGCAATCTGGTGTGGCAGAACGGCCTCTAGCGCGACCGTTCCCGAATGTAGTCCACCATCTCCAGCAGCGAGCGGCGCGAGGCGCAGTCGGGCAGTTCGTCGAGGGCGGTACAGGCGGCCGTGCAGTAGTTCCGTATCAACGTGAAACAGTCCGGCACTATCTCCGAGTTGGTGATCATTTCCAGCGACTTCGTGAGCAATGCATCCACGTTTGCTCCGTCCGACTTGATGGCACTGAACAATGCCCCGATCGGGTGCTCATTCGGATACCGGTCCATCAACATGATTTGCCGGCAGTGTCAACACGCCCTGCAGCAGGTCGTTGCCCACCGGCTTACCAATTTCCGTAGCGTCGCCCTGCACGTCAAGCAGATCGTCGACTATCTGGAACGCCATCCCGATGTTGTAACCGTAGTTGCGCAGCGCCTGCACCTCATTTTCGGGGGCGCCGCCCAGGATGGCTCCGGTTTCTGCGGACGTACAAAACAGCGAAGCGGTTTTGCGGTAGATTCGCTCGTCGTACAATCGGCGCGATTTCACCGGGTCGAACGTGGTGAAGAACTCGATCAACTGTCCGCTTGCCAACTCCATGATGGTTTCCGAAAACCGCCGAATTACCCGAATCACCCCGGTATCACACACAAACGTCGCCGACGTCGCGAAGAGGTAGTCCCCCAACAGAACGGCCACGTGGTTGCCGTACACTTGTTGATGGTCGGTTTGCCCCGGCGTACACCAGCGTTATCCACCGTGTCGTCGTGGATCAGAGTTGCCAGATGCAGCAATTCCACCGCTGACGCCATGATTAGAGTCCGCTCGCGATCGTGCTCATGGAACTCGGCGGACAGCAGCGTCAGCGCCGGCCGAACCCGTTTTCCGCCCGACACCAGGGCGTACTTCAGTAGGGGATCCAGGTCAGCGATATCGGTTTTGCACAGGTGATGCAGACGCTCTTCTACCTGCGCTAACTGTTCGGCTACCGGAGCGTATATTGAGATCGTTTGCAGGTCCAGCCCCGGCTGCACGTTTCATCCCTCTGGTTAGGCGCTCACGCCCAGCAGGCCAGCTTCTTGCTCAGCGACCTCGACGTCCAGCTTGGTATACAAAGCCGCCGGATTGCGCAATATGTGCCCGGGTTGAATCCCAGCCTGAACCACATCGGCATCCCACGGTTCCGACGAAACGAGGCCATCAAATCCCAGGTATTCATGGAGCTTTTGACTGCTGAACGGCAGATACGGGGATAACATGACCTTGAGGCAGTTGATGGCTTTGATGGCCGCCGTCAAAGAGCAGGCCGCGTCAGCACGGTCCGTTTTCACCGCCAGCCAGGGGGCGCGAGTGTCCAGATAACGGTTAGCTTCCTGTGCCAGCGAGAACGCGTTCGATACTCCGGCGCGGAATCGAGTGTGAGCCAAGCTGTCGTCCACTGCCTCCATCGCCCGTTTCGCCGAGCCAGCAGAGTAGCTTCAGCTTCACCGGCCGGCGCTGCATCCACCGGAACCTGGCCATCGAAATTGCGATAGGTAAACCTCAACACTCGGTTCACCAGGTTCCCGTAGGTCGCAACCAGCTCGTCATTGTTGCGGCGTACGAATTCTGCCCAGGTGAAATCCGTGTCTCCCGATTCCGGCATGTTGATGGACAACAGGTAGCGCAGCGGGTCGGGGTCGTAGCGATCAAGATAATCGGGAACCCAAACTGCCCAGTTCTGGCTGGTGGAGAACTTGCGGTTTTCCAGACTCAAAAACTCGTTGGCCGGCACATCGTAAGGCAGGTTCAACCCGCCGTATCCCATCAGCATCGCGGGCCAGATGATGCTGTGGAATGGGATGTTGTCCTTGCCGATGAAATAGTAGGTCCGGGTATCGGGGTCTTTCCAGAACGATTCCCATTCATCCCCATTGCCGTTGAGTTGCGACCATTCCACCGCAGCTGACAGGTAGCCGATTACCGCCTCAAACCAGACGTAGATACGCTTGTCGGCGTACCCGTCCAGTGGAACCGGCACGCCCCAGGAGAGGTCGCGCGTTATGGCGCGGTCTTTCAGCCCGCCCTGTAAAAACCCGCGCGTTGAATTCGCCACGTTGGGTCGCCAGTGTTCGCGCCCTTCGATCCAGTCCAGCAGCTGCTGCTGGAACGCGGACAAACGCAGAAAGAAGTGCTCCGAGTCTCTGAACTCTGGCGTTCCACCGCAGATGCTGCACCTCGGCTCCACCAGGTCTATCGGGTCCAGCGTATGTCCGCAGGCGTCGCATTGGTCGCCACGCGCCCGTTCGTTCCTGCAGTGAGGACACACCCCCTCAACGTACCGGTCGGGCAGAAATCTGACGCATGCGGCGCAAAACGCCAGCAACGTCGTGTCCGGGTAGATATAGCCCAGTTCCATCAAACGAGCGAAGAAATCCTGCACCACTCGCTGGTGATTTTCCGTGTGGGTGGTGGTGAACAAATCGAAGGTGATACCCAACCGTTCCCAGGTGTCCAGAAACTGGGCATGGTAGCGTTCCAGGACTTCCAGCGGCTCCACGCCTTCCTGATCGGCCCGGATCGTGATCGGCGTACCGTGGGCGTCAGACCCCGAGACCATCAGCACGTCGTTACCCTTCATGCGGTGATACCGCGCAAATATGTCTGCCGCCAGGTAGCAGCCGGCTATGTGACCCATGTGAAGCGGGCCATTCGCGTACGGCCAGGCAACTCCAATGAAAATCCGCTCCGACAAGTTCGACACCCCGCGATAAGAGCCAGTGGTTCAAAGTCCTTGCAATTTTAGCATAACGGAGCATTGGGTTGATGCTCCCGCTGCCTCTGATGTGCGTAGAATTTCCGATCAGCAATCGCCGGAGACCGTGGGGTGAAGCGCAGTGTGCGGCCCGATGTAGCCGAACCGGAGATCTCGGCGACGGATCCGTACGCCCATTGCTCAACCCACGTCGTGGGAGCCCGATTCGGTTTGGCCCGCTGGTGTTTGTCGCACGAAGCGGGCGTTTTTCCACATCGTCGGTATGTCATGCGCGTCGCAGTAGCTCATTCCCGAACGCAAGCCACCCAGCAGCTCCGTCAAAATCTCATCCGCCCGACCGCGGTAGGGAACGGGGGCCTGCACGCCTTCGTCAGCAGATGTTTCTTCGCTGTCTTCCCATTCGACTGCGGGGGCCGACGGGTTCTCGCGGAGTCGTCGGAACAATGCTGCCTCCCGGGACGCCATCCCACGCACCATCTTCATTTTGCGTCCGCCCCTCGATATCACCGCGCCCGGGCTCTCCTCCGTCCCGGCGATAATACTCCCCAGCATCACCGAACTTGCTCCCGCTCCGATCGCTTTTGACACGTCTCCCGGATAGCGGATGCCACCGTCAGCTACTATTGGAATATTGAACTCGTGGCCCACCTCGGCGCATTCCATCACCGCAGTGAATTGCGGGACCCCCACTCCGGCGACCTGCCTGGTAATGCAAATACTTCCTGGACCAACGCCCACCTTGACGGCATCCACTCCAGCCTCCGCCAGACGTCTGGTTGCTTCGGCGGTCGCCACGTTGCCGGCGATTAGTGGTATATCCCCCAGATGTTCCCGCAATGCGGAAACGGCATTGAGCATCAACTCCGAATCTCCGTGAGCGATGTCTATGACCAGCGCGTCAGCTCCAGCATCGGCCAGGGTCTTCGCACGATCTATGTAGTCGCCCGCGACGCCCACCGCGGCCGCCACCCTCAGCCGCCCGGCTTCGTCCCGGGTTGCGCCCGATGTTGCCGGCGATGTGGCGGCGACCAGATCGCGAGCGGTGATGAGTCCCGCCAATTTGCCTACTGCGTCCACCAATGGGAGTTTCTCCAGGCGACTGGCAGACAGTATCTCCCGGGCGGCGTCCATGCTTATGTCGGGACTTGCCGTAACCAGTTTGGCAGACGTGGTCATGCGTTCGGCCACGGTTGAGCGGTCGTCGGCCAGGGTTGTGTCTCTGGTTGTGATGATACCCAGCAGCAGGCCTTTTCGTGATATGACCGGCAATCCACTGATCCCGCGCGAAGCCATCAGGGCGCGCGCGTCCAGAATTGTGGCATCCGGTGCGATGGTAACCGGATCGATGATCACGTGGCCCTGGTGGCGTTTCACCCGGCTAACCAGCGCGGCCTGGTCGGCAATGGACAAGAACCGGTGTATCACGCCAATCCCGCCAAATCTCGCCACGGCGATGGCCATCCGGGTTTTCCGTAACCGTATCCATGTTCGCGCTCACCAATGGAGCGCTCAGATGAATTTGCTTCGTGAACCATGACCCGGTGTCAACGTGGCTGCGGCTTTGCACCGTGGAAAAACGGGGCGCGAGCAGCACGTCATCATAGGTTAGCGCTAACGGTATATCCACGGTTTTCATCGCAATAAACACCCGCTCGTGAGTCGGACACGATTTCATGGTAGCACAGGCCCGATCTGCGGTCCGTTGCCCGCTCCAATGCCATCCAGCCGTGCCGGCCCCTGCTCCGTCTCACATGTACTGCACGAGTACAGATCATTGACACAACTCCCCTGCAATGTTAACATTTATCGGCAACTCTTCGCTAAGATGGGGAGTAGTAAGGTCGGTACGCCCGTAGAGAGCCGGCGGTTGGTGAAAGCCGGTGGCAATAAGACCTGAACTCGCCCCGGAGCGACCCGCCTGAAACGCTGAATCCAGCGCGTGTAGGGCGAGCGGGTCGGCCCCGATAATGGCTGTGTACAAGAGTCCTGTTGGCTTCCCAGGCCAATCGGGAAAGAAGGGTGGTACCGCGGGCACCGAAAACCCGTCCCTTCGGGGTCGGGGTTTATTTTTGCCCCGATGAATCCCAGATTCTATCGGCCCTACAGGAGAATCCGATAATGCAACTAACTGGCGCGCAGATTGTTTGCGAAAGCCTTATCAAAGAGGGTGTGGACACGATTTTCGGGCTGCCTGGCGGGGCTGTATTGCCGTTCTACGGCGCACTCTCCGGTTACCCCCAACTTCGCCACATCCTGGTACGCCACGAACAGGCTGCCGCCATGGCCGCCGACGGATACGCCCGAGCCACCGGCAAGGTCGGTGTTTGTTCCGCTACCTCTGGTCCCGGCGCAACCAACCTGGTTACCGGCTTGGCGTCGGCCCAGATGGACTCCGTGCCCATCGTGTGCATCACCGGACAGGTGCCGCGCCCGGCCATCGGCCGAGACGCTTTCCAGGAAACCGACATCACGGGAATCACGCTGCCCGTAACCAAGCATAACTACCTGGTGCTGGACGTCCGTGACATAGCGCCGGCAATCAAGGAAGCTTTCTACATAGCGCGCACTGGGCGGCCCGGTCCCATTTTGATCGACATTCCAAAGGACGTGCTGGCCGGCGAAACCATCGAGTTCGAATGGCCCAGCGAGGTGGACCTGCCCGGTTACAACCCACCCGGTGATCCGGAACCCGAACAGGTTGTTGCGGCCGCCAGGTTGATCAATCAGGCCGAGCGTCCCATCATCCTTGCCGGTCACGGCGTACTGATTTCCCGGGCGTGGGATGAACTCCGGGAACTGGCCGAAAAGGCCCAGATTCCGGTGATCACCACGCTGCTGGGCATCGGTTCATTGCCCACCGACCATGTTCTGAACCTCGGTATGCCCGGAATGCACGGCATGGCCTACGCCAGCCTCGCCATCGATCGCTCCGACCTCGTGATCGCTCTGGGCGCCCGGTTCGATGACCGCGTTACCGGCCGCATTGCCGATTTCGCTCCCCATGCCAAAATCATTCATTGCGACATTGACCCGTCCGAATTCAACAAGAACATCATCGCCGACGCACCGGTGCTCGGTGACCTGAAGGCATCGTTGCGTGCCTTGATTCCCCATGTAAATTCCACCGTTCATCTGGACTGGATGCAGGAAACTGACCAGTTGCGATCACAGCATCCCTCTTTGTTCATCCGGGAGTCCGATGTCCTGCTCCCGCAGCAGGTATTGAAAGAACTTTCCGACGCCACCGGGGGCAACTCCATCATAGTTACCGGCGTGGGCCAGCATCAAATGTGGGCGGCCCAGCATTACGGCTACAATGAACCCAACTCCCTCATCACCTCGGGCGGCAGCGGAGCCATGGGCTTTGAGGTTCCGGCGGCGCTGGGCGCCAAGGTGGGTCGTCCAGACAAAACGGTTTGGTCCATCGCCGGAGACGGCGGGTTCCAGATGACGTTGTGCGACCTGGCAACCGCCGCCGAGAACAACATCGAGGTGAAATTCGCTATTCTGAACAACGGTTCCCTGGGTATGGTCCGCCAGTGGCAGGACTTCTTCTATGACAAAGATTTCTTTGCCACCATCTACAGCGGCAATCCCGATTTCGTAAAACTGGCCGAAGCGTACGGTATTCGCGGCATCCGCGTTACCGAACAGCGGGAAGTGGCCGGTGCGATTCAGGAGGCCATGGAAACTCCCGGGCCGGTAGTAGTCGATTTCGTGGTCAAGGAAGACGAGTTCGTCTTCCCCATGATTCCCGCCGGGGAATCGGTGAACGAAATGTTGGAACAGCCGTATGTCAAGGGGGTGAGCGTTGAATCAGCATAGTACCCAGCACACCATCATCGCACTGGTTCAGGATCGCCCCGGTGTTCTCACCAGGGTGGCTAGTCTCTTCCGACGCCGCGGCTTCAACATTGCCAGCCTGGCAGTGGGCGCCAGCGAACAGAAGGGTCTGTCGCGCCTCACCTTCGTGGTAACCGGCGACCAGTACACGGTAGAACAGGCCACTCGCCAGCTGGACAAACTGATCGACGTAGTGAAAGTCTCCAACATTTCCGCTGAGGACGTGGTCGCCCGCGAGTTGGCCCTCATCAAGGTGCGCGCAACCCCAACCAACCGCAGCGAAATCCTGGAGATGGCAAACCTCTTCCGCGCCAAGGTCGTCGACGTCGGCGCCCGTTCCCTGGTTATCGAAACCACTGGAGAAGAGGACAAGATCGACGCCCTCTACGACCTGCTCCGTCCCTTCGGCATCCTGGAGCTCATGCGCACCGGTCGGGTGGCAATGGTTCGCGGAAAGGCCGAGGGCCGCATCAGCGACGATGTGGGCGCCAAGTACGAACAGTACGGGCGCAATGGCGTCACGTCAGTCGGCTCCTCCCGTTATCAACCGGGGCATTACGAAGGCGTTTAGTGCATTCCCACTTACTCCAGACACTTCACGGCAAGGATCAAAGGACATTTAAGCATGGTTAATATCTATACCGAAAAAGACGCCAACCTGTCGAGATTAGACGGCAAGACTGTCGGAATCATCGGCTACGGCAGTCAGGGACACGCCCACGCGCTAAACCTCTACGACAGCGGTGTAAACGTTATGGTTGGCCTCTACGAAGGTAGCCCCAGCCGTGAAAACGCACGCAACGCCGGCCTTACCGTCGACAGCGTGGCCGAAGTAACCAAAGCATCTGACGTAATCATGGTTGCCGTCCCCGACCACGTGCAGAAGGACGTATACCGCGACGAGATTCAACCCAACCTCGGACCCGGCGCCGCTCTCATGTTCGCCCACGGATTCACCATCCACTACGGGTTTGTTGCACCGCCACCCTCCGTGGACGTGCTGATGATCGCGCCCAAGGCTCCCGGTCACCGGATGCGTGAGCATTTTGTCCAGGAAGGCATCGGCGTCCCCTGTTTGCTCGCAGTGCATCAGGATGCCACCGGCAACGCCAAGGAAATTGGCCTGGCATACGCGGCCGGCATCGGTTGCGCCAAGGCCGGAGTCCTGGAAACCACCTTCAAAGACGAAACCGAAAGCGACCTCTTCGGCGAACAGTCAGTATTGTGCGGAGGCGTTACGTCGCTCATCAATATGGCTTTCGAAACGCTGGTGGAACGGGGATATCCGCCCGAAATTGCCTACTTCGAATGCCTCCACGAACTCAAGATGATCGTTGACCTCATCCAGCAGGGCGGGTTCAACTACATGCGTTATTCCGTCAGCGACACCGCCGAGTATGGCGACCTGACCCGCGGCAACCGCGTCATTGACGAAAACGTCCGCAGCAACATGCACCGCGTCCTCGACGACATTCAGAGCGGCGCGTTCGCCAAGGAATGGATGTCCGAATGCGACGAGGGTCGCCACAATTTCCTGCGGTTGCGCCAGGAAGCCCGCACCAGCCGAATCCACGAAGTGGGCCGCGGGCTGCGTGAAATAATGCCCTGGCTCAATCCCCGCGAAATCGAGTGATTCATAACACCTGGCGGCTTCGCGAGCGTACCGTGGCAATCTCGCTACCACACACTCCCAGGAGGTGACAAATGGGCATGGAGGTACTGTGCAGAGCAGTTCACCATCGCAGACTGGTCTTGGCAGGGCTGGTTGCGGTGGACTGCGTGTGCCTGCCCGTCCTTTCCCGGACGACCCGTGCGTAACGGGCAACCTTGATCTGCCCCATCTGGGGACACGCCTGCACCTTTCGGAGGGAAAGGAACCATTATGACCACACAAGTAAAATTTCTGGATACCACGCTCCGCGATGGAGAACAGTCGGCCGGCATTGGCATGACTGTCGACGAAAAACTGCAAATCGCCCGCCAGTTGGCCCGGCTCAAGGTTGACATCATCGAGGCCGGTTTCGCCGCCAGTTCACCCGGCGACTTCCAGGCTGTGCAACGGATTGCCCAGGAAGTCCACGGGCCGGTAATTTGCTCGCTGTCCCGCGCCGTGGCCGGTGACGTAGACGCCGCGTGGAACGCCATCAAAGACGCCGACAGCCCACGCATCCACGTTTTCCTGTCTTCGTCTGAAATCCATCAGATGCACCAGCTGAGAAAAGATCGCGAAGACGTGATGACTATGGCGGTGGAAATGGTCGCCCGGGCCAAGTCCTATTGCGACGACGTCGAGTTCTCGCCCATGGACGCCACGCGAACCAATCCCGATTACCTCTATAGGATGCTGGAAGAGGTGATCAAATCCGGCGCCAAAACCATCAACATCGCCGATACCGTAGGGTACGCCATCCCTTCGGACTTCCAGGCAATGTTGCGAGACATCCAGCTGTACGTCCCGGGAATCGAAGGCGTTACGCTGTCCGTCCATTGCCACAACGATCTGGGCCTGGCGGTTTCCAACAGCCTGGCCGCCATCGAAGTCGGCGCCCGCCAGGTGGAGGGTTGCATCAACGGTATCGGCGAACGCGCCGGGAACGCCTCCCTCGAAGAAATCATCATGGCTCTGGACACTCGCAAGGACCTTTTCGGCGTCGAACTCAACATCGACACCACCCAGATTTACGCGGCGAGCCGCCTCGTCAGTCGGATAACCGGTATGAGCGTTCAGGCTAACAAAGCCATCGTGGGCGAAAACGCCTTCCGACACGCCTCCGGCATCCACCAGGATGGCGTTTTGAAGGATCGTTCCACCTACGAGGTTATGAGCCCTGAGCGGGTCGGATTGCCGCCCGAAGTCCAGTTGGTGCTGGGTAAACTCAGCGGTCGCGCCGGGCTGCAGGCTCGCCTGGAATTATTGGGTTATTCCCTCGACCGCGAAGAGGTTACCGGTGTTTACCAACGTTTCCTCGAATTGGCCGACAAGAAGAACGAGGTTACCGACCGCGACCTCGAAATCCTCATGGACGAGGAGAACCGCACCGCTTCCGAACCCATAACCTTCTCGCTGGACACGGTGCACTTCACCGGCGGCGACAAGGACATCCCCACGGCCACTGTCCGGCTCATCGGGCCTGATGGAACCTTCCTCACCGACGCATCCACCGGCAACGGTCCGGTCGATGCCGTGTGCCGGGCCATCGACCGCGTCATCGGATGCAGCACCACGCTGGCCGACTTCCAGGTCCAGGCGGTTAGCGAGGGACTGGATTCGGTGGGTTCAGTGACCATGCGTATCGAAAACGCCGGCAGGGTGTTCTCGGGTCGCAGCGCGTCCACCGATATCATCGTGGCCAGCGCCCAGGCCTACCTCAGCGCCGTGAATCGGATGCTGGCGGCTGACGAGGCTGAATCGCTGCCCGCAGTAGGATCCACGCCCGACTAGTCAACCCGATATCCCCGGGTGATAAGCCCCTCTTCAAATTGAAGAGGGGCTTTGTATTCACAGCAAAGGCATTTGGTAAGACAGGTCTTCCGGCGCCGCGTTCGGACCCAGGTGAGTCGCGTGGTAACCCATCGACCGCAACCCTTCCGCCAGATCCGGAAACCCGAACACCGTAAATACCCGCTGCGGGTTTACCGCTTGAACGTATCCGATGAGGTCGTTGAAATCCGCGTGGTCGCTGTATGGAATGCTTGCGTCGCCCGGCCGGCCGTTCCCCCACGGTTTGGATCCGCTGCCGGCAGCCCACCCAGTGAGTTCCAGATATCGAACCGGACGACCGGGCGGTGCATGTTGCCGGATCTGCTCCCGAGAACGACGTCCGGGCGGAAACAACCAAACTTCACCTTCGTGATGCTCGCCGTCGAAACACCGATAATGGTCGAGGAAAGTGACTCCCGCCTCAACATATTTTCCGGTTACGTCAAATATCCCATCTTCACACGCTACCTGAAAACCAGCGGCCAGCAAATGATGCAACACCTCCTGAGCCTTTCCCAACCGCCAGCCCAGTACTACCGGCATCGCCCCCTGATCCAGCCACTGTCTGATCACCTGCACCGCCGTGGCAACGGATTCGTCCTGCTTCGGAAACACGTAATCGGGGCGGCCATACGTGGACTCGATGACCAGCGTGTCGCATGGTACCGACTCCAGGGGTTCGTTGATTGGAGACGGTTGCACCTTAATATCCCCGGTATACAGCAACCGTTCCCCCGTTGATTTCTGTGTCACCAGCGTCTGAGCGGAACCCAGGCAGTGCCCGGCGGGAAACAGCGAAAGCGTGTAATTCGCCGCCTCCAGCACTTCCCCATAAGCGAGTTCCACCGGATCAGACCGGCGCAGATAATCACCCAACAGCAGTCTGGTGCCATGCGTGAGGATGGGCCGCTCGTGTCGGGCCGTGTGGTCCGAATGTGCGTGCGAAATGACCGACGACGGTTGCTTGCGTAGCGCGTCCAACCAAAGATCAAGCCCGGGCAGATATACGCCCCTGTTAAATACTACTTCCACTGCTGCTACCGGACCAACAAAAAACCAACTCGGCGAAGTATAGCATGCGACTTCCAACCGCATGCCGGGGCGGCATCTCCCGCTATTCGCCTCCACCGGGCCTGTGCGGTATAATTCCGCCAAATCTACCGGTCAGAGTGCAGGCCGCTGACATAACAGCGCGGCCATCGTGCCTTGATCGTACCCAGGAGAATATCAATGCCAGGTCAAATTGGCGATGCGGCCAACGATTTCACCCTACCATCGCCCAATCACGGCGACGTCACATTGAGCAGCTATCGGGGCACCCAAGCGGTGGTGCTATCGTTCCACGTGCTGGACTTCACCGGTGGTTGAACGGATCAGGCTACCTCGTTCCGGCGCTTCAACGCCCGTTTCGAGGAGCAAAATGCCCAGGTTTTGGGCATCAGTTGTGACCACGTAGCCGCCCACCGTGCCTGGACTACTTCCATGGGCGGGCTGCCTTACCCCGAGCTATCCGATTGGCACCCCAAAGGCCAGGTGACCCGTTCTTATGACCTTTGGAACGAAGAACGCGGCGCCGGCACACGCGCTGTCATCATAGTTGACCGCGAGGGCGTTATCCGCTATCGGGAACTGTACGAACCGGGAATCCTGCCCGATCCGGAAACCATCCTGCAGGCCGTAGCCGACCTGTCCTAACCGTTGCAGTCTGGCGGCGCACCGTGTACGTGCCGCCAGATCGCTATCCCCCGATACCTTCTATGCGGAGTTGGACCCGATCCGCTGGGGGTGTTGATGGTAAGTTCATCACCTGCCGAACGCCCCATCAAAGCTTGGCCTATGGGCGAAACTGTCGAAATCTTGCCGGCGGATACGTCCGCCTCCCGGATATCAACCAGCGTAAATATCCGCCGCGTCAGGAGCGTCATGTCTTGCAGGGTAACGCGGGATCCGATACTCACCTTCTCGGTGTCGGCGTTGGCAGCATCCACGATTTCAACCCGGGCGAGATCGTTTTGCAACTGACGAATCCGTCGTTCGGTGAATTGCTGCTGCTCTCGGGCGGCATCCAATGGCGAGTTCTCGCGTACGTCCCCGTCGGCTCGGGCCAATCGAATCGCCTCTCGTATTCGCGGAACCTCGTTTCGCAACCGTTCCAACTCAGCCTGTAGCTCGTGTGGCGTTCCTCGCTCAGCCGAGCCGTCGGCGCCCCGCCCGACGATGCGCTCAGACCGGAGCTGTGGACCCGGCGGCGTTGGCGGCGCGGTGCTGCTGCATATCTGGCCAGGCTGATCTCAGTCCAACCCTGGCGGTTTGCGAACGTCAGGAATTTCTTGACTGGATCCAGACGCGTCGCTGGGTCTTCCACGTTCTCGGTGGTCCACTTGGCGTATTCACCAACTTCAATCGCATGCAGAGTTCCAATAACTTTATCCCGTCCCACCCGTGACTGGAACCTGAGTAGCTCCTGTTGTCCCTGTAACACCTGCTTGCTGTTTTTGAGGTGATCCACGAAGAGATTTATGGCCGCCGAAATCGACAAATCCGGGTCTTTGATCAACTGACTTCCTCCCGTGCGGGCAGGGACTATTCTGTAGATTGTGATCTCATCATAGCATTTAGCATGATTGTCGGGCAAACGCTGACAGCGACCCGTTGCGGTCGGTATGGAAACTTGTGCTATTCTACGCCGCACAAGCATCCAGCCAGGAGGTCGCAATTACCATGAAAGCAATGCAGATTACCGAGTACGGCGGCCCTGAGGTGCTGAAGTACGTCGACGTGCCAGACCCCGTCGCGGCAGACGGTCAGGCCGTCGTCGACATTCAGGCAGTCGGCGTGAATTTCACCGACATATACAGCCGCCAGGGCGTGAATCCTCCCGGCCTCCCATGGGTGGCCGGCGTCGAAGCAGCCGGTGTCGTCAGGTCAGTCGGGTCTGGTGTGTCCAACGTTTCCGTCGGCGATGAAGTCGCCTACTGCAGTTTCCCGGGATCCTATGCCGAGCGGGCGGCCGTACCCGCCTGGCGTCTGATCAAAATGCCCGACGGCCTCTCGGTCCAGGACGGCGCAGCGGCCATGCTGCAGGGCATGACGGCGCATTACCTGTGCCATGACACCTATCGGGTTCAGCCCGGCGACCGTGTGCTGGTTCATTCTGGCGCGGGCGGTGTCGGCCTCCTTCTCATTCAAATGTGCAAAAAATTGGGCGCCTACGTCTACTCCACCGTATCAACCGAGGCTAAAGCTGAATTGGCCCGCGGCGCCGGCGCCGACAACGTCATCCTATACACCCAGCAGGACTTTGCCGCTGAGATAGCGAAGGCAACCGATGGCCCCGGTTTGCAAGCTGTATTCGACGCCGTTGGCAAGGACACCTTCGATCAGAGCGTGGCCAGCCTGGCGCCCCGCGGTTATATGGTTCTTTACGGACAGGCCAGCGGCCCCGTGCCACCGGTCGACGCCCGAGTCCTCGGCAACGGTTCCAAGTACCTCACCAGGCCCGGCCTCGGTGATTACACCGCCAACCGCGAGGAACTTGAGAAGCGGGCCGGAGCCGTTCTCGGATGGGTCAAATCAGGCGAGCTTAAATTGCGCGTGGAGCATAGCTTCGCTTTGTCCGACGCGGCCGAAGCTCACCGCCAACTGGCTTCCCGCGCCACCACCGGCAAGGTAATCCTTACTCCCTGATCGTTGATATGACCCAGCGGCACACCGTTCCCGACAAATTGCTGGATGCCGGTAATTCCAGGGCTCCCCAGGCGCCGGGGTTACACTCGGAGCCTGGTGAAGACCCTGGAGCCAGCCGGCTACAACGGGGTATCCGGGTTGCGTCCCATCCGTTCCGGGCCCCGCGTGGTATCGTGCTGAACGACCTCGAGTGGGTTGCAGACATCTCCCGGCGCTACGATCTGAAGGGTTTGGAAATCCCCAGTGGATCCATTGTGCTTGAACGCATCGCCGCTACTGGCGGACGCTGTTTCTGCTACCCCGACGGCAAGTGGTTGATCGGTTTGTCGTTGCCCCGGTTGCAACGGTGTGGTCGTAAAGGCGTTGAAGGGATCGTCGCTCACGAATTGCTCCATGCCTGGTTGTGGTCGCAGCACCGATACCAGGGGCATGGCCCCGTTTTCGAAGGTCACGCCGCCGTCCGGGGTATCCCGCGCTGGTGTCCAACAATTCAGGAAGTGCACAGACTTGGGCCACAGCAATTGACCTTGTTCGATACCTGGCCGTCAGCGCCATTGCCCAACCTCTAGTTATCCCCGGCTGGCACAGCCCACGCCGCGATTGCAACCCGCGTTTCCGATTATTATTTGTACAATGGAATGCGCCGGGCCTATAATGTTATCAATCACACTGACCGAAGGAGCTCCCTAATGCCAACTACGGTGAATAGCGATGATGTTTACGAAGCATTGCGGACAGTTTACGACCCGGAGATCCCCGTAAACGTCGTTGACCTCGGACTCGTCTACGACGTTCAGGTTAGCGATGCCAACGACGTGTTCGTGCAAATGACCCTTACATTCCCCGGTTGCGGCATGGGACCCCACATTGCCCAACAGGCCGAATGGGCTATACAGGATGTCGAAGGCGTCGAAGAAGTCAACATCGAATTGACGTTTGACCCGCCGTGGTCCCCCGACCTCATCAGCGAAGAAGCTCGCAACATGCTCGGGATTTAGTACACTCTATCGCTGAAATCAGACAGGGAGCGTGCCGATGGCAACGCCGCAACAACCAAACGCCCAGCAAAACGCCCGCCTCCAGCAGATTCGCCGCCAATGGGAACAAAAGCGGCAAATAACCGATCGTTTCGCATCTATCCGCACCACGGTGGGCGTTTACAGCGGCAAGGGCGGAGTCGGCAAAACCACTGTGGCATGCAATCTGGCTACGACACTCGCCGCCCAGGGTGAACGCGTTGGCCTGCTGGATGTGGATATCGACTGCCCCAACGTCGCACGGGTTATGGGTATCGTCGATAAGCCCGACTACACTGACGGCAAGATAACCCCTGCCGTGGGTCACGGCGTCAAGGTCGTATCCATGGCGTTCTTCCAGGAAAACGAGGACGAAGCCATCATCTGGCGCGGACCCATGATCCACAATGCCATCAACCAGTTCCTCCAGGCTACAGACTGGGGCGAACTCGATTACCTGATCGTTGATCTGCCGCCAGGCACGTCTGACTCACCGTTGACCGTGATGCAAACCCTTCCTGTGGACGGTTTTATCGTGGTCAGCACCCCGCAGGATCTGGCCATCGTCGACGCCAAACGATGCATCAACATGATACGCAAACTGAACCTGAACGTCGTCGGTGTGGTGGAAAATTACTCCGGCGATATATTCGGTGAGGGAGCGGGACGCCGGCTGGCAGAAGACATCGAAGCCCCCGTTCCTGGGCGCCATGAACCTGCGTTCAGCTTATCGCGATACCAGTCAGCCCACTGTCCTGGTAGACGAATCCGTCATGTCTGAATACGCGGAAGTAGTTGAGCAACTGCGTAACAATTTGAAAGCCCTGGGACGGGAAGCGTAAACCGGACGAAGATTACCGCGCCAGGACTTGGTGGCGCGTCGCTGCGTCGACGGTCGTGGCGGTTTGTAACGACGACTAGGACGTTCCGCGTTCGAGTCCTTCTTCAAGTGCCAGGTGCAGGCTTCCCACAACCGGCAGTTGGGCAGGCGGGGGCGGCGGTGTGGCCAATTGCATTCTCAGCAAAACCTCATATTCCTGCTGCATGGCCTCCTGAGCAAACGGGTTCAGCTCCCCCATCTGCCGGAACTTGCGGTATCGTTGCTTCAACAGCTTACTCGTGGATAGGCGGCAAGTCTCCGCGAGGTGCTTGTAAATAGCCAGTTCCAGCTCCACCGCAGCCTGCCGCGGATTGTTGTGAGAGCCATTTTCGGGTTCAAGCACGATTTGATCGACGATGCCCAGTTCTTGAGAATCTCGCGCGGTGAGCATCAGAGCTTCCGCCGCCTCCCGCGTCAGGTACCGTTCCCGCGAAGGGCCACCCACGGTGTGGTGCAGCGAGATTGGCGAGTATATCGCATACTGCTGCATCAAAATGCGGTCTGACAAACCCAGGGCCAACGCGGCCTCGTTTCCCGCTTCACCAATAATCACCGATACAATCGGCGTGGTTGCCTGCAGCATTATTGACAGGCTTCCCGCGATGGCGTTACCGATTCCCTGCTCTTCCGATTCAAGCCGGGGGTCGGCGCCCTGCGAGTCTATAAGCGAAATCAACGGGCGGTTGAATCGGGCTGCCAGGCTGATGAGTCGTTGGGCTTTCCGCAAGCCATCCGGATGAACGTGGTAGCGCCCGCCGGCAGTGTCGTGCCTATGGCTCCGCTGTTGACCCACTACCACCACGGGCTGACCCCGCAAGAAACCCATGCCTCCCACAACCGTTCGGTCGTCGCTGCTAACCCGGTCACCGCTCAACTCAAAAAAGTCATCCAGGATGTGCCGCATGTAGTACAGCGCATCGGGACGCTCATCGTGAGTCGCTGCGTCCAGAGACTCCCACGTGTCGGTGTCTGGGGCCGCTGACACCTCCAGACGTGACAGCGCCCGCCGGCTCAATCCGAACGACACCGAGCCCATCAATAACTTCAGCAGTTGACCCAGACGTTGCGTCAGCTGCGCCCGGTCTACCACGTTGTCCAGAAGACCGCGTTTCAGATGATATTCGGCAGTGTGCACGTCCGGCGGCAGCTGCCGCCCTGTCGCTTCCATCATCGTCCGTATTGGCGACAATCCCACCACCGAGCCGGGTTCCGCGATGATAATGTCGGCCAGATTGGCGAAACTGGCGTAGGCTTGCCCCGTAGACGGATTCGCCAGAACCGCGATAAACGGTACTCCAGCTTCTTTCAATCGGTTCACGGCCGCTACCGTTTTCGCCATTTGCATCAACGACAGCACGCCTTCCTGGGTTCGGGC